GAGAGACGAGGCTCCTGAGGGAGGGAGAGGCGAGGAGCGTTGGGGGTCCCCTGACACACAAACCAAGTGAATATTTGGCAAACCCTCCGAGCCTCATCGGTCACACAAGCTGTGGCCACTGTCCCCAGTCCTCAAGGAGATAGCAAGCGACTCTCCTAGGGGGTAAGCCCACCCCTGGGCTATCGGAGACCCCCGGTGCCAGACTCTGAGGGGCTGGGAGCTGGCTCACTGCTCAGAACAGGCCAGAGGGCTCCAAAGACTCTGGGGATGATGAGGGGAACAACAGACCCACCCAGGACCCCTGTCCCTGTTCCCCATGTACCCCACTCACCTGCCCCCAAAGCTGAACCCACCAGCCCGAATGGCCGGCCGTGGAGCCCTGGTGTCACCGTGGCTTTGTGACTCGCACCCACATTCCGGCCAATCCCTGCTCAACCGGTTAGCTCTTGGGGGGAGGAGGCTCTAGAATGTGGTACCAGGGATGGGGGGCAGGGCCGAAGGCCATAGAGGGTGCTTCCAACAGCCAGCACAGAGAGTTGGGGTTTTTTGCACAGAGACCTATAGGGGGGTGGGGGGGTTCCTGCTTTAGTCTTTTACCTCAGGGATTTGCTGGGCTGTCCTGGGTCTGGGGACACAAACCAGCAAAGTCGCTCTGGGGAGGCTGCCCTGAACAGGGGGCATTGGCCCTGGGGCCTGAAGGGTGAGCAGCCAGCAGGAAGAACGGCCTAGACAGAGGGCCCAGCCCACACTGAGGCCCCAATTCCATGGGGCCTGATACCAGGACCTAAGTGGTGGGTGTGGCTGAAGGTGAAGGGAGGGCGAATGGGGAGCGTGGGGACTTCTGGCCAGGACTTGAGGAGCTTGGGTTTTACTGAGAAGGTTCCGAGAAGCCACGAGAGGGTTTAAAGGATTCTGTTTGTTTTATTCAAGAAGGAGGGGAAAGTATCTGTGTCCATGTCTGAGAGTAAGGCTTTGCCAGAGCCCCTGGCCTGGAGGGGAAGCCAGGCTGCTGGCCCAGGTCACCTCCCAGGGTTGGGTCTGTGCCCTGCATGACTCAAGCTGGCTGGGCTGGGGCTGACACACACCTTGGCCTCAGCTCAGCAGGCTCGGGCCAAAAGGTTCCCAGGGGACCCAAAGGGGAGCCTCACCCTACAGCAGAGGAAACCAGCAGAGGTGGGCCATGGACCACCCCCTAGTCTTCTCCATACCCATAGATGCCTACGACCCCTGGGTGGGTGTGGCCTGGGGCCAACCTTGCCCCTCCCAGATTTCCCACTTCAGGGCCTGTGAGTTGGTCCTTGGGTCTGGCTCAGCCTTGAGCAGACCCACAGACCCCAGTGATCAGGGACTCGGCATGTGTGGGGGTTGGGCACAGGTGGTGGTAGGAATTGAAGTATCGCCTCCCAAGCCTGGGGCAGGGGGCAGGGAGGGAGGGCCCTAGGTGGGTCTTGTGCAAAGGTCCCCCAAGCCCCCCTCGGCCATCCAGTGGCTTTGGACTCACAGAGAACCACGGTGGGCTCTTGCTGTTGGCAGGCCTTCCCTTAACCACTATACCCCAGGGCTCCTTGCCCGAGCTAAGAGAAGGGATTTAGTCCAGAAGGGAAGGAGTTGTGCCCCGAGGGAGGCAGACCTCAGCCTGCCCGGAGTGTGCGCCTGGCACAGTCACAATTTATTCCTGAAGTTACAAACTGGAGTCAGGTCTGTGGTCTCAGAAAAAGCCCCTCCCCGCGAGCTGGCAGCCCTGCCTCTCCCATCAGGCTGGGAGCCTCCCTGGCAGGTGAGGCTGGTGAGAAAAGTGCCCGATTCGTGGCTGAGAGCCAGGAGGGGCCACAGGCCTGGGTTCAAATACCCATTTTACCATTTATTGGTGTGTCTGGCATGCTTTCTGGGCTCCCCACTTCTGTCAACAGGATCCCAGCACAGCCCACAGAGGTGAACAGGTTGCTACTCCTCGGCACTGACCCTATTGTGATCATTCATTCCCGAACACTTGCTGGTAACCGTCTTCTGACCTGGGGGCTAGTGCCTGTGGTGCCCCAAAATGCACCCGTTTTACATAGTAGGAGGCAGAGGTCAGAGGGGAGAACTTGGCTTAGGCCCTGCCAGGGTGGCCAACTGGAATCTAAGGTATGACGTCTCTTGACTCAAGTTCTGCCCCCAAACCACTGTTGTCTTCCCTGTCAGGGCACACCTCGCGGCCAGTGCCCCTCCATAGTGGAGTGGGCCCAGGGCTTAGCGCTAAGCGCTCAAGCTGAGAAGCCTCTAGTTCTGGACACCCGATGGCCTAACGCATTAGCATGAAGGTGGCTGAGGCATTGCTGGTACATCTCAGTCCTTTGCGCCTCAAGTTTTCTCCTCTGTATAATGGGCATAATTCACCTGCCTTCTCAAGCAGAGCCAGGAACACAGTTGGAACCGAACATTTGCCCTTGGCCATGGGCTGCCTCTCAGTTAAGACAGGCCTCTCACTCTCACTCCGATAATCCACTCTGACTCACAAGTGACCTTATAGGACAGGGTAGAATTGCCCCTGTAGATTTCCAAGACTGTTAACTTGCCATGGTAGTAAGCCGCAGCCCCCAGCAAAAGCCAGAACAAATGGGCAGGGGAGGCAGCAGGCAACCTGCCTTTCAAAGCTCTGGAAGTCTGAGAAGCCCAGGGCTCAATTGGTCTTTCCCAATCCCTAAAGACCTAATGTGACCCCGAGCCAGATGCTTAACCTCAAGGAGGAATCTTAACCCACCTGCTGCCATTAAGTAGGATTTTATCTCCCTCCTAATTCCATGCAATCTGATTTCCCTTCCTAGACCTGTTCTCCCATTTGTCAACTCCTGGTGACCCTCAGGGACGGAGAACTGCTACATAGGATTTCTGACACTAATCTTTACAGGACCTGCTGGGTTCGAACCAACTTTGCTGGGACCAATCAACTCCATGCTTATCCTAGTGTCTGGTGCGCTCCTCCTTGCCTGATGCAAGGGCTCAGTAAAAGCTGGCCTTTCTGCTTGGCTAGTGGGGAAACAATCTCAGGAGAGTGGGTTATTCAAGGGCTAGAAGGGAAAGGATTTGATTTGGTGGGACTGTGGACAGAACAGCTACATTGTAGCCATCAAGTGAAGCATTGCTTCTTAGTGTTTCCAAGATGGTAATCTTTTTACAGAAGCAGACTGCTACATTATTCTGGCTGATGGTTTCAGACCTGTGTCACAGGGCTCCCACTGGTAAACCAGCTCCCTTCATCCTCACCACCCTCGTGGAACAGGTTCCCCCAGAGTTGTGTCCATTTTACAGATTGGGCAACGGAGGCCCGCAGGGGCTCCAGAACTTATCTTCCTTTCTACTCCGACCTGGTGCTGTCCTCTGCCATCACAAAATCCCTCCTTCCCTAGAGGCAAAAGGTACTCGCCGCCGCCTGGGGTCTGGACCACCCCCACCCCCACGGCTCCGGGTACCCTTTGCGAAGCCGACGTCAGCCAGGCGGACTCCCAGGAGCGCCTAGATGGCGCTCGCTGCGCACCAGATGTGGGATCCCGCCCCCAACGGGGAGGAGTAGAGAACCGGAGAGGGGTGAGGAAGGTCGGTGAGGGGAGAGGAGGGGTGTGGACCAGACCCCGCCCGCCCGCCAGGGCCCAGCGAGGGTAGAAGGAGGAGGCAGAGAACCGAACTGGCGTAACAAGACTTTACTGAAAACAGAAAACCAGGCGAACGGAGGATTACATATAGGAATGTGGAATCGTAGCAAAAAAAAAACAAACAAAACAAAAAACAACATAAAAACGGGAGGGTATCGGGAGGTTGGAAGGGGAGAGCGAGAAGGGGGGTTTTTTTTTTTCTTCTTCCCATTTCTTTAAAAAACCAACACAAGAAACACGCACGCACACAACCAACGTTTGTTCCCGAGTAGAAACATAAATAGGGCAGAATCGAACACTCTTGTTTCTCTCTTTCCAAAGCAAAAAAGTAAAAGAAAAAGAAACGCAGGGCGACGGCTGTGTCCCCACGGAGCTCCCCGCTCGCGTCGGCGTACAAAGAGGCGGCCAGGGCGCGCGGGTTTGTGCAACACGGGACGGCCACTCGCGGGAGACAGAGGCAGCACGAGGGCGGGGTCATGCGCTCACCCCCCAGGATGGGGAGGTCCAGCTTGTCGTGTCCAGGGCGCCCTCTCTAAGTCCCGGGCACCCTCAGGGAAGTCCTGGGGGCTGTGCCCTCTAAGTCCCGGGTGCCCCTTCGGAGCCCCGGGCACCCTCGGGGGCTCCTAAACGACGCGCCC